TTTCAGAATTCTCTTAATGATCCCCATCTTCGAGCTGACTATTGTAAGTAGAAGCTTTCGTTTGTCATTATTATGCAAGATAATGTTTAAAGTCGAGGTCGCAAGTGCATGGTGGGTATTTTTCTGGCAAAATGGAAGACATCAAATAGAACAGGAAAACAACTTTGGGCCCTACTCTTAAAGATTTTGTGTGCCGTTTGTGTATACAAGACTTATTAGTCGTGTTCATATTTGAAACTTTCAAACTGGAGTTTTTTTTTATCTGAATCTGAGTTTTGTACCTAGTAAAGTCTCTCTCGATTCGTATAACATTTTGTCGTTTTTTCAATCCACAGTGGTTCGCGCTCCGTTTCCCGGACAGTGGTATCTACCTAGAGTCGATCCGTCAGCTGTACCAGGCCGTCCTCGTCTATAATTACGTCGTTTACCTCGTGGCGTTCTTCGAAGAGGTACCCAACTTTGACAATCGCCTGGCCATGAAGCCGCAGATCAGGTCCCGCACCCTTTTCTGCTGGAAGAAGGCGACGCCAAACAAGAGGTGAGGCGAATAATCCTGTTCGTAAGTGTGACGTCATTGAAACTTAAACCACGCCCACTCCACAAGTAGTAGCATTGGAACCATTGGGACTGGAAGTAGTAGAATGTGGGGAGTTTAGCCAATGGGCGCTAGTAATCAGCAGTGCGGCGCGCGCTGACGCAGTCACTTACGAACCGGATAGGCCGATGCCGGACTCGTATGTGGAGAAAACTTCCCAATGTAGTTTCGAATCATGCCAGTGAAAAACTGTCATAATATGGCATTGAGCAGTGTATTTTATACTGCAATAGTTTTCTTCACTTAATATAGGAGCAAAATTAAACATAAGACGGCTGGAAGTCCCGAAATGGTTGCATTTTGTTTCTTAAAGGGAATATACATCATTTGCTTTTGCTGTTTTTCAGAAATGGATGGAATTGGGGGGTTGGAAATATAAAGCAAATATAGTCACACTGACTTTTTGGAGGTTTTGGGTTCGAAAATGCTATAAAAACCCAATAAAAACGATCATTTTCCTGTAGTCTGGTCCCCTGACTCATATAAGAAGAAACAGAGCAGTTTACATACATTGGGGAATTGTAAGGTCAAGGAACCAGTCTAGCTGGCTCGTACCCGTTCATAGGTTTGTAATCGATTGCAAACAAGTGCAATGGTCAATTGGGGCCAGTATTTGAAAAAAAGCCAGTTTGTTTCCAACGCTGATCGGCCGATCAGCGTTGGAAATTGATACAAAAATACCACTTTTCTTGAAAATGACAGTATACCAGGTGCCATAATTTTACAGGATGCTTTAGACTGTCATTTACCAACATCCTATTAAGGTATTTCGCAAAAAACTTGGTAGTTTTATTTTTCGATGTTGCAAATGTTGTATATTCCCTTTAAGCCGAAAATGCAAGAAAAAAATCCGAAGCAGAGGCCTTTAACTTGAAATAATGATTCTTTCGGCCTAAATAAATATATACATAGAGAGTCACCAACACGTTATGTTTTTTTAAGGAAGGGGGGGGGTGAACTCGCAACAACATATTTTGAATTACCTGAACATTATTGTGCGAATGGTAAAGTTATTTATTTTCGATATTTATCAGCGTCTACATTCAACAAAATTGCTGTAGCACCAATGAGCGGGATGATGATACATTACAGATTTCAGGTCGAAGGTCATCGAGCAAAGAACAAGAATGGAACAGCGTGTTAAATAATGCCACAAGAAGATCAGATAAAACTATTTTAGATAAAAATAAAAAGCCCAAAGTTTTATATGACTCTATCAGCTATACTAACGCTCTATATTGAACTATACAGGGCGAGTCAAAAACAATTAACGAAACCCAAATGACAGGTCCAATTTTGAATGAAGTTTTGCCTGTAGCACTTTCAAAATCTAGGATATGAAAGCCGAATCAATGGGCTTTATTTTAGTACAAGAATCATTCAAATCACTCATGTGCTTTTTAAGTTACGGAATTTTTAAAATTCTGTCCACGGATAAAAAACGTGTTTTTTTTTTCTTTCAGCAAAACGAAAACAATTCACATGCATCCTGTGAGAATTGTTTTCGTTTGCTGAAAGAACACTTACTTTTTGTGATCCGTGGACGGATTTTTAAAACGGTGTTTGTGTTCGAATTCTGTAACTTAAAAAGTGCATGAGTGATTTGAATTATCCTTGTACTAAACAAAGTTGGGCCTTTCATATCCTGAATTTTGAAAGTGCTACATGCAAAACCTCATTCAAAAATTGGTCCTGCCATTTGGGTTTCGGTTTTTACTCACCCTATATTGCCTTCCACTTAATGAAACAAAAGGATTACCAGGGAAAACTGCACGGTCAATTTTAGGAATTTTCAACAAATTTTAAACTTTGAAATTTCTTGTGGAGGCTTTAATAAACTTAAGTATTTTTTTTTTTTCAAACACGAGGGATACAAATTTAAGCTACGTCTATTTATTTTGATGGACCCCCATTCACCAATCTTCCCACATAATTATTCTGAACATTACGAAGATCAGTGGCTGCATCGCGAACTGTTTTGGAAACCGATTTTCGTCTTCAAGTTGAACTTTTCGTTGTTTCTTAAGTTGCTCTACCCGATTCCAAACACACCATATGTTCGTTGATAAAAGTAGAAATTTCATCATCCCTAACTGTCCTGAATCCTCCAATTTCAATACGATTTTTGCACATCCTCTAGGGAGTTAGGGTTAAACTTTAAACAAATGTATTCGTAATGCCTGCACAATTTATGACGATGAATTTGATCATTTCATTACATTAATAATTTCTTTGCAGGCTTATTCAAAAATGCAAGTACGGCATGTTCAGCTACAAGATCATCCGGATAATTTTTCACCATAATCTCTCTGTAAGTTCGACCATTTCTGACTCAACGAATTCAAAAAGAAAATATCATACTGGAAAAGCTGTTACAATAACAAAATGCGATCGGTATACAGATTTGTGGTTTTTCCAGATTACATAAAGGCAACGCAACAATCATGCTTAAAATTTTGCTATTTTTGCTGGTCTTAAAGGATCAACACATAGTGCCTTTTTGGTATATCTATCTCACTAGTTGATTGACTGACCGACTGACTCCCCGACTAGAGCCCTTTTCACACTAGACAAATCTCGGGGTTGACGCAGGTTGACGAAGGGTTGAAAACACGCGTCGTTTCACACTTAAAGAATTTCAATCCTGCGTCAACCCTGCGTCAACCCCGCGATTGATTTCGCCCCGGTTGAACTCAATCCTGCTCCAGACTAGTAGGTTTGAGATTTTCAACCCGGGTTGAAATTCTTGCCAGGGTTCAAGACAGTAGTAACTGAGCATGATAAGCTTGATTTGCATGAAACAAGTGTGAAACGATGCGGGGTTAAACGCGGGCTTGAAAAATCAAAAAAAAAATCAACCCAGAGCGACACTGGGTTCGCCCAGGGTTGAGTTCAACCCGGGTTGAGAAGCTCTAGTGTGAAAAGGGCTTATCTGTCACTTGCAAGCCGGGCATTGCCATCATGTAGGATACCCGTAAACACCTACCGATTGGGCTATCAGGCCGGTTCTTTACACCCAGATGCATTAAAAGACTATCCAGTGAATAGCCTTTCTAAATCAATTTAATATAATCTGTGCGCCCTGGACCAGCTCTACTAGGCTTGCTGCGAGTATTGTTTTGGAAAACCGAGGCACTAAAATATATTAGAATGAGTCATATTTTCATCTCTTTTAAAAGAGATTTTTGGTGTGTTTTTTTTGTCTTGGATATGTAGAACTGCATTTCAAACCAAGACGTTTCTGCAAGGGTGGTTCTCACCTGATGGTGCATACCTATGGGTGACGATCTTCTTAACTATCGCCCAGATTGTGAGTACGAGAATATTAATAATTATGTAGTTCAATACTTCAGAAGTCAGTGGTAGATCACCGTGGGGAAGGGGGTAGGGGTGGTGAGTTTGTTTCTGCATTCAATAGGGTCCCCAATTCCCGAGAGGTCCCCAAGTTGGATTCATGTACAAAACATGTGGGAGGTCGTCCCAAAAAGTTAAGGTACAAACAAAAGAGGGACAATAGGAGGTCCCCTATACTGCAGGCAAATACACACTTGTATGTATGCTAGCGTTTGTTATTGTGTAAATCGAGGACACACACGTGCAACATCATCGGTGAATCGAGGACAGGGCCAAATCGAGGACGACCTTGATCAGAAAACGTGTACAAAACCAATGAGAGCTGTTGCGAAAAAGTACATACAAAGGAAAAGGGAAGAGGAACAAATTAGAAAATCTTCGATTTACACCATAAACAAACGTTTGTGTGTACGTGTGTTTGGGGGGGGGGGGTGTACTTGTTCTACATAACCCAAGGGACAGACACACAAAGGGAGAACAACAGATTCTTTCAGTCCTCGAGAGTTGGGTCTTTTTTTCAAAACGGTCCTCTGTAGTGTGTTTGTGTGCTTATGTGAGTGCGTTATATTACAGGGACAAAGGAAAACACAAAGCATTGTCCTCAGGAGTATAGTAAACAAGAATGTGTGTTATTACTCAGTGGCGTAACTAAAGGGGGACGGGGCCACGCCCCCTCCAACAAATGCCTGTCCGCTCCCCCCCCCCCCGCCCCGTTCCCCGTTTAAAATCTTGAATTGAACAAAAATATAAAATGTGCCTTCGTGCGCATCACGCCACAATGTCCTCCACACCCCATATTATTTTATTTAGATCAACCTATATACGTCCCGTACTTCTCCTCTTGCCACTGACTGCTCGAACGATTCCCATCCCAATTCCTTTCGCCTTGCTCACGGCCCTCTTTCCCTCTTTCCCACCAGTGCGCCATGTTCTGCCTATCCCTTCTCCGTAAAGTGACCCGCGAGGAACTCCAGATGCTACCCAAGTCCAGCTCGCAGTTCGTCGGCGTCCACCTGGCGCTCTTCTTCGACCATTTTCAGACGATGTTCTTGCGTCTCCTGGCCAACTATGGAGCAATCAAATCTAGCTACCCGGGTTTTGTTGGAGACAAACAGGAATTTGCCACCATGTGGGAGGTCAGTTTAATAGTAGGCAAGGTGGCAGTTCATGCAGTGATGAATATTATTTGGCGTTATGACTACGTTTTCTCTTTACAGCGATTGGCGGATTTTAGAGGACTGTTACAAAATTCTGACTGCATGCCTGAAAATAATGTGCGCCAATCACAGACAAGGGCGGATCCAGAACACAATTTTTTTGGGGGGGGCAAAAAAAATTTTGGTCCCCCCAAAAAGTGGGTCTAAAAAATTACGGCGTGGGGTTCGGGGCCCGCTAGGGCCCCGAAAAATTTTTGGATTCTAGATGCTCTGTGGTGCGATCTGAGGCAATTTCTGACCACTTTAACCATTTTTTTTTAGGAAAAGATGGTGGTGTGCTCATTGCCTGCTTTATTGCGATGTCACATTAAAAAAAAAAAATTGGTTTCGTTTTGGGGGGGGGGGCCATGGCCCCCTTTGGCCCCCCCTGGATCCGCCCTTGATCACAGACGTGTTTTTGACCCTCAAAAAATATAATAGGAAAAGGTGTCCTGCAAACTCCCAAAGGGTAATGCCTACAGTACAAAATGCTAAAAAAAATTGAGGAAATAATTGGAAATGAAAGACGAAAAAAAGATTTGGAAATCCTATTAAGATAGAAAACTATCATGTCTGCAATTGTGTTTTTTGGGGCTGATATATTTTTGGAAAAAAAAAAATCTGACTTAAAGGGAAAAATGCACAGATGACAATGGTTGTGACAAATGCTTTATATTTTCAAAATTAATAGAATCGGAATCAACATTTAGATAAAGTAACCCCGTCTTGCTTGAAAAAAGCGTCTTTTAGGAATCCAACACAGAATTTTTTTACTTCTGCATCAAAAACTCTGTATTTTATTTTTATTTATATTTAACATATCCATTTTGTTTTGCAGAATTTTCTGCTGTGCTTCGAGATGGTCCTAGTTGCCCTTCTATTTAATTACGCCTTTGACTACCGACGATACAAGGTTGAAGGCCAACCCAGGCTCAGCTTCGCCCAGTCACTCAAGCAAATCTGGGGCGTGTCTGATGTGGCGTCCAATATAATTGGTCGGTTCAGACAAAGGGGTAAGTCTATATGCATATTTATGTTAATTCTATGCAAACATATGCAGATTTTATTGTTTTTTGGGGGGAGGGTGGTGATTTAAACTTTGAAATCCATTGTTCAGTGACTATCACAATGAATGAAATTTTATTGATGATTGTTAAATCGATTAGGATTTTGTAGAAAACGCTATGTGTGGGGTTTTTTTTAAAACCAGTTCAGCTTCTATGTTACAAAGATGTGCACTAAAAGCACTATTTAATACAACTTATGCCTTGAAGGATTGCAGTTATTGCAAATGTGTCATATGCTTTTTAAGTGATCTTAAATAAGATATTTTTTAAAACACATTTTTTTAGTATCCTCCCCCATGACCCAAGAATGCAAATTGGTCATCTGGATTCCAAATTCAAGTGCCCCCCCCCCCCCACTTTTTAGTTGTCCGTGTCCTGACCCCTCCCCCTTTAAACTATCCTGTATAAGAGACCATCCAACAATGACATTCATATCTCCTGGTTTTGTGACAGGCGACCATACTAGCAGAGATGACAACCAGCAGCAGACCACAGCAGGCTCTCCTGCATCCCAGCAGAATGGTGCCCCACCAAAGGAAGAAGCTGAACCACCCAGGAGGAGAAAGCCGGGCACCAGTTCATCTCAATGCCAGACATCATTATTAACCACACCGAAGATTTCGATCACGCAGCCGAGATCCACAGTCCCAGGAACCAAGATGGCGGCGATCAGAATCACGATGGCGGCGAGCCGCGTCCAAATCAAGATGGCGAACCCAATCAGGTTCACGGAATCGAAAACCCCGGGTTTCAAGGAGAATCGCGCCAAGAGCATTCCAAACCGACAGAAGAGGACGGACTCGGTGACGATGCCAGTGAGGACACTGACGACTTCCTGGACGAAGAGTTTCCGACAGATGACGAGGACGACAGTGACATTGACAATGGCCTGCCCTTTGACGGAAGGTTAGACGCTCCCCGCGGAGCCAAACCTCAAGGACGAAGGGTGAAAAAGGTCAGCTATGCTGAATGACCTTCGATGATCTGGACCCGAGCAAATTAGGACATCCTTCCCATGATTCCCCTGCCGTCGCCAAGAAGAAACGAGTCAGAAGGTCAGCTATGCAGGGATGACCTTCGAGGACATGGACTGGGAGCAAATTCGGAGTCACCAGTCCTCAACCCTGGATTCTGAGACGGCACACACAGTGGCAAGCATCGTGGAGCAAAGTGAGGAGCAATACCCGGAGGGCAAGGAGGTGAAACGAAAGGAAAACCAAATGGTGACGGGTTTGGAAGCTCAGAGGCTTAGAACACTACTCTACAACGGCTGAATATATCCCTGTCACCTGATTGGTGGTCATTAATCATGTGTCATTGAATTACTTGTCCCAACCCAAGCCCCGGATGCACCGCAAAAATAGAAGATCCAATCCATGGTAAATTGAAGTTCAGATGACGAGGATTTATTCAGGTGTCGTATAAAAAAATAATGAATGTTTCACATTCGTGCAGTGGAAAGCATAATTTCATTTGGTGACAGACGGCATGTTCCATTCCACTCGGCTTCGGCTCACAGATCATTCAGTTGTCACCTCATGAAATTATTCTTACCATTGCATTCAAACATTTATTACTCGTATAGTATGACATTCCTTTTTGAAATCTCTTTTGAAATACATAACATAAGCTGTATATTGCATGCAATGTACATGAGAAGCTTTGTACATTTCTGTGGTTTTCACTACTTTGCCAAGGTATACCAAAAGTATTACTATCTCAGCTGTGATTGGTTCGTAAGTTGATATCTAAACTTTGATTGGTCCAGTGACTTGGCTGATACCATATAGTAATACAGCATTTTGTTACACAACTGAACTGTAAGAAAATTCCTTTACTGGTATTTTGAGAAATTCCTTTACTAGTATTTTGAGCAGACCATATCAAATGGCAGTTTATTAATCTAAACCTGAGTATAATGTAATTGAATACACCAACAAAAACCTTGATATTTTCATTCAAAGTACCTTGAAATGTATTAAATTTGAAAATAGGTTAATAAAATACTCATTTTTATTTCATATGTAGACCATGATCAGTAATGCTGCTTTAGGGCAATAAGACTTCAAACAAAGCTTATTTCATTGGAAGCATTTTCATATTTTTAACGGAAACTAACAAAGTAAACAATAAATTATATCAAGTACCGATATGAGAGATATCAAACAATGTTTTTCCAGATTGTAAACCATGAATGTAATTTTACCTTTGTAATCATAGATGTAAAATCCAAAACATTGCTTTTCACATAAATGCAAGTTTGTGCATAGATCTTTATATTTACACAGACTACAGCATTACAATAAAAGATGACATGTTGCAACATATTGCCATTTGTACAACCAGACTTGTTTATTATCCTGCCACGCCACTTGAACTATGAAATTAAAGATAACCTTGACTAAGGCCAAAGGTGGATTATGTGTGATCTTTTCTGAGATTTCAGCAGGGTCAACTATGCCATATCATCAGTGCAAAATGGATAGTTGGTTCATAATGCAAAATTGAATTTGAAGTCTTACTGTTCAATTTATGATATGTCGGTGTAATTTCAATATCAAGTAACAAAAAGATTAACAGCAACTACAACCAAGCCAACAGTGATGGTATAAAGTGAATAAAAAGATTCAATTTGCAGAATAGTCCAAGAAGTACAATGCCTACCCATTTTGATAAAAAAAATATAAAATTATGTTAAACAAAGAGATTCTCCTATTTTACCAATAAAATCTGCTAATTTGGATGTAATTCGGGCGATTCACAATGCAGTGTGCCACCAAGAGTTTGCCATGGAGAGTCAACTTTTCAAGTTTACGGTCGACAAAATATGGCCCATTTGAATGAGTGTCAGTAGACACTTGAGCTAATTTGTTATATATTGGGGCATAGCATTCTGCGCCTTACCAAAAATCACATATTGATACAAAGAAAAGAAAAGGGCAAACAGATACTGAATCATACGCTTACGAAATTACTGACCGGAAAAAACGAACAATTTCAAATGTCCCGCGCTGCGAATTTGTCGACCATCTCCCACAATACACTGGGAAAAATAACTCTCCGTGGCAAACTATTGGTGACGCTCTGCATTGTGAATCGCCCGAATTGCGAGATAAAAAAACAACTACCTAACCACCTCAACTTGGAAGACAAAACAACTGTTCTCAAGCGTGGCTGTTACTTTCACAGAGTCGCCCTTCCTGACGAGTTGCCCCTCTGGCAGCAGAAAAACCGCCTGCCTCCAGTGTGTCTCAATGTCCAATGTATTCACGTGGTTGGACGCGTCCAGGCCAATGTCAAACCAGAACGGTATCGCTGTGATTGTGCCGTCGTTGATTGCCTCAAACGCGTGGGTCGTGGTCTGGTTGACGAAGCTGGGCAGATCTGTCGAGTCTGGCTTTGGTTCTCGTTGAGGTTGAGATGGAAAGGAAGGAAGGGCGGGCTAAGCTGCTTGTAGGACCGCGCTGACAGGTGGATGTCTAGAAATGTGGACACCTGTGACAATCCAAATTGTTTAATTAATTGGTCGGATCTAACATTAGTCCTGCTGTTGTGTAAATTAATTGCGCAACATAAAAACAAACATGAAATATATAACAGATTTTTATGTTGATAATGCAAATTACTTTCAGATCTTGAGCTATCTCAAACTCACCATATCAGAGCTGTGGTCATTTTGAAAAACGACTGATAAATTGTTTACCAATTGATCATATCTGAATGTTCACAAGGATGATTATTTGTCAAGTCTGTTCACTGATGTGGCAGGTAGTTCAGATATATTTCTGTTTTGGGAAGGTAGATGGATGCTATTTCACCACAAATATCTGTGTATATTGTCTTCATGGCAATAATTTTTGGAATCGATGTTACACTTGAGGAGACAACCTATGTTATCTATTCAGATCAGCTCACTTATAAGGCAGTCTTATATGGAAAGACACCATATGACTACTAAGACAAAATGTATACATTCCAACTTATATTCCTACCTTGTATTTGT